TAACGGCTCTTGTCCATCAGTTGTCATTCATACGCATTACGTGTCCGGACCATTTTATCTTCGAGTGTTTGGCGTACAGAACGACATCTCTGATTTTTGATCGTTGACTCAGATCAGAGCTTCGGATGCGTTCCCGTTCTTGTATGACAGGAGATACTCAAAGCATCGTACTTTCGACTGCGCATAAAATAAAGCTGAATGCTCTAATAAATTCTACAATATCAACCTCGTGTTTGCTTACCAAAGGAGAATGGTAACACTTTAGTTGTGAAATTTTTAGATAGCTCGCGAAGAATGTTTTTATGCTGTGTAGGGACTTTCTAACTCCCCATGACTGCTTCTATCTTGATTGAGTCATAAGCCTTCTTTAAATCGGCGAAAGTGAAAGAGAGCTATCTTTCGTGCTTTCGCGATACTTCTGTGAGTTTTGTTTTTGTGTGGATATGGTCTAACGTACTGAATCCTTTTCCAAACCCTTCTTGTTCACATGCCTGTCCTTCGCCCAGTACTCTCTCAATTCTCTTTGGGATAACCCGGGAGAAAAGTTTATAGACGACATGGAGCAAGCAGATTGGACAATAGTTGACGATAACGTACCCTCCTTGAACAATAGTACGCTCTTGCTGGTCTTATTGAGTAAGAACATTGCACTCAGCTAGGTGACGTGTGAAGAGCCGAGCCAGTGTGTCTACGAAGAGTGGCGGGAGGTTCCTCCGATGCCCAGATCTTTTCCTGTCCGGACCTGGTGCTTTTCGATTTTTCATCGACGAAATGGCGTGTCGGATTTCGGAAGGGAGAACCGGTGGTGCAACATATCCATCCTCTATTTCATATGAGGAAAGGTGTACGTGGTTATCGAAGAGATCTGAGTAGTATTCGTGAGTGATTTTCTTCATTGCACTTCTGGACGCTGTAGTTGCTCCGTCTGGGCGTCGGAGTGCAATCATCTTGGTCTTGTAATTTGCTAGGCCTTGGTGGACTTTGCAAATGCTATTCCCAGCCTCTGCAGCTTCAATCATTACTGCTGCTCTTCTCTCTTTAAGATCTTCTTTTATCGCCTGACTGCGCTGTTTTGCAAGTTCGGACGTTAGTTCGCGGTTGCCTGCAGCTCGTGCGATTCCACGCCGGCGTATCAGCTCGAGTGCTACTGAAGGCGGACGTCTCTTGGTGACTTTTAAACCGTCAGCTCTCATAGCGCTAATGTAAAGTTGTTTTGAAGCATTCAATGCATTTAGTCAGCCGTGAAAATTTTAACGACATCAAATGCATTGCGAGTATATCAGAGTTTGATCAACACCAAACACTCTGCACTTTTAACCCTTAGTTTCACTTTTTTGCCATTATGGTAAGAACACTATCATGTTTTAGATGACTGTCAGAACTACGGTACCGATTCCACAACTTGTTCACGGAATTACATACACGAATCTATCACTTGTGTACGTCATCAGTTATGTGATGGAATTACAGACTGCCTTTGTGGTGAAGACGAGTATCCAGCACGATGTCTATTTCATCTTCTAGTTCGTTTCTGATGCTTTATCGCTGATTATGTGCCTTAAAGCTCAGAATATTTAAGGGGTGCGTGTACCGAAATGGTTAGTGATGCTCTACAATTTAAGCGTTGTCTTCAATGTGACAATGCGTGCCAATTTAACCAGGCATTTCATCCCTAAAGGCTCCGCAAATTGCTACCTGAGAAGTGCGAAAAGATGAAAAAACTGACTTGGTACATCGCTCGACCACCGCAAGTCATTGTGCAGACAAAATATACAATCAATCACCTCTACAACGCTCAATGGAATCTAATCCACAACCCATTCTTCAGGTAATGATCAAAGATTTATGTTTCAATACAGTTTAATAATTCTTTAAGCAAAACAGTTACAGCTAGTTTCCCCATCCTAAATATTTAAAATATCGCTTCCAGTCAGTGAGCGAAATGAATCGGATCGAGTTGGCTATCACTGAAATGCTGAAAAAGCGAAGGTGGACGAAACAGCCAATCATCTGGAAAGGCCAAAAGGAAACATGAGAGATCAAAACGGTGATTTTGTGTGACCAACGTTGTGAAACACCCTGGAGTACGGCAAATTGTTATCAGACCTGTCTACGAGGATAGCAGCGCCGACTCGATACATCGGTAGGCCATGATGGGTCATTGCATAGCTCAGAAGTCATCTAGGCATGCTCAATGAGGCCATATCCATGACTTATCCCTCAGGAATTGATCAACATCACGAGTTTTTTTCAGAGCTTTAATTCGAACACCCTAAGTGCACTAGACGGTCCCCATCGAATCTAAATCTTTCGTCATGACATGACAGCAATCACTGAAAAGTTTCACAAACTATGGCTACATTTACAAATCACATATACTTGGATACTTTGATGTCCCGTCCTCACTGGTTGTACAGACTCCAGCATAATTTCCGCCTTTTCGGAGCTTTGCTGGTCTGGCCACTGTGTTCCACTGGAGTCCCGAGGTGAAGTTGGACAAAGTCTGCCCCATGTCGTCACCACCACAGGTAATCGCTACACTTGTGGTTTAGGGAAAAATTTGCACCGTGCGAATAGTTTCATTTCAAGACGGTGATGGATCCTGGCATTGGTTTACTCTTAGCAAGGCTTCCTGATGGAAACGCCGGAGTCCTTCTCAGATTGGGGAGATCCTGCCAGGAGGGATGAATCCTCCCGCTGCACATCGCAGTCCGACACCTAGGAACACCTCCCAGCCACGACGAAGCGGTAAACCGTTGGCAGAACAGATCACAGAAATCCTCAATTAGTAGAAATTTGCCTATATGAACATTAATTTTTGAACCAATGCGTTGTTGCTCGAACGGTCCACCGTCACAGTGTTGCTGGAGAGTGTTCCTGGTCGTCGAACTTCGAAGATGTACAGTACGAGACCATACCTTATAAGGAAAAGCTAAGCTGAGGATAAGTTCTACATTTCTATTCAGAACGTTGCGTAGGAACAGACCTGTGCAGCGGCAATGACCAACAAGCTCTGCATGGTTGTCTTCTCACCAAAAACACTGGGTGGGGGAGGGAGGGACTCCAAGTTCAAAGCGTAGTGTTTGTCGCATTCCTCTAGCTGATGCCCACTGACAGCTCTACTTCTCGACGAGGAGAACGGGAAGCTTATTGGTGACCGTTCCAGTTACTCAGCAATTCAGTTAACGCACAAAGGCGATAAGGGGTTACAAGTGGGGTAATAGAAGTGATTGTACTAAAACTAGTTTTAAAACAGCCTACACATTCGTTTGACGTCACATCTAGAAAATTTTCAACGAATCGACTCTACATCCTTCATATTTCGGAAATCATTCAATTTTCAACTGAACTCGTGTAATAGATACAAATAATGAAACGATATCAATAAATGATAACATAAGTAAATATTAGACTGATGAGTCGAGAAAAGCAACTGCAGTAACATAGTTATCTAATGGTCTCCATATCACTCATCTATGTTTAGCAATAGGAAACATTCCATACTCAGCTCATGCCAACAATCGATTACCAGGACCATCGTTGACATGAATATCATGCATCAGGCTCGGTTCAAACATGAACAATGTTTTTATTAAAATTTAAAAAACATCAGAGACACAACTGCTTACAAACACCTCGTTACTCACATACCCGTACGTATTTTAGACGAAGCTTCATGGAAAACAATGCAGGAAAAGAATGGTAGGAAAAAACACTCGTAAGAAAACTAAAATATACTTTTCGAGGCAATTAAATGTTAGAATACAATTGCGAAAGCTGAATGAACAGTAAATTCAAGATCGATGAGCAAGTGGAGATTCAATGGCCTATCCAAAGCAGTAATACTTCTCCTGATGGGACACTAATAAATCCTCTACATTAAGTACAAGTCAGGATTATTATAAAATTACTAGTTCGCCAAGAAAACAGGAATAAAATAACAAGATTATTGGATTTGGATTTAAAATCTGTTGGCGATAGTGGTCAACATCTGAAAGTGTTTTTGTAATCACTCTTGGAGAGACTAAAAAATGTCAAGGGAAAAAAATGAGAATGAGGAAAACGGTAAAGAATCATAACGGCCTTCTGTGCTAAGATAGTCGTTCTGTTATAGTCGTGTCATTTCTAAAACTGATTCAGCACTACTGGAATCTTCGGAGTCAGATCTGGTTACGCTGTTGATTGTGCATGGAAGATATGGAGATCGATGGTCCTCCAATTCAGCTTTATTTAAAATCGTTCTCGGATCAGGCTCTCGAGTCGGACGTAATTGTGAAGGATTATCATGAAGTAGCATCTATAGAAAAAGGGAACTTTTATGTGATTTACCACAGCGATGCTGAAGCATTTGCAAAACACGGGACCTTAGGGCAACATCGATCCTGTGACTGCCCTCTCCGGAGGCTCACATGCTTTTCAAAAAAAAATATCAATAGGCAATAAATAAAAACTTAACCATTGTGGTTTACAGATAACCGCTTTTAACGCTGATTTGTGCTCCCCAGATCATTCCCATTGAGAGGTGATCTCTAATACTAACGTCAGTGTAAAAAAAGACTAAGATGAACGCAAAGCAAGAGGCCGGCTGGTTCAGTGGGTAACACGTGAGTCCATGGAAACGATATTCGCTGGTTTGAAGCCGGCCTGGTGTTCCGAGTATTGTAAATATCTTTGCTTTTGTTTTATGGGATAGTTCGTTCGAAACCTTCTTCAATGAATTATTAAACTAAAGCCTAATCTTTATCTTCTACCTTCTCTATGTCTATCTTCTATCTTCAGCCATGTCTCACGAGCTTATAAAAGCTCAATAGCTTGGCAACTAGTGTAAATTCGGTTGGAAACTAGCATGCGCACAAAACATGTACTGCAACGAAAGTATCTCGCGAACCACTGTACATTCAAAAACATACATTTGGATGCTGGTTGGCCTATAAGCACCGTCAGAAGTCTAGTCAACGATTGATCGGAATGATGATCGGAAAGGACCACGGTAGTGCAATTATCATTCGTCAGACAAAAGATCACTCAAGCCGTACGAGTATAAGAGTCTTGAGTATTCTTCGTGTTGGAGCTGATATACCATTAATTCAAAACGATACGTGGAACGAGATAAAATGCGTTCATGGTACAGATCTTCAAATCAAACATCAAAATCGATAAAATACAGCACTATTCTAATTAATGCCAAGACGAAGATCATTTAAGAAGAGCGTGTGACGCAATAATTAGAGGCGCTCTGCAGTACGTGTGCTTGTTGGTTCGATAGCGCACCCTCGGCTAAGTAAGTCTTGCGTCGCTCCATGATCAGCAAATTGGCACCAGATTTCTCTGGTAACGTAAAAAAAAAAACACCGATTTAAAACGTCAGTAGAGCCATACAAGTGGGTATATAAGCCAAACATGCATTGATTCGCCTCTACGGTACTTGATGGAGTCAAATGCATTGCACACCCCGCAGAGACTGATCAACGCTGAAAGCTTCATACACTTATTAAAGGTAACCTAAAGAACAGCCTAATATGGTAGAAGTGTTACAACACCTACCTTCATTCCATTACTCGGCACACTGTCAAATCTGCACTCTGGCCAGATTATGAACTTAGCGATATCCTTGTAACGAAGTTTAACAAATGCACGTACTTCCTTGTCAAGCGGTTCGAATTTCTTCGCAATGAACTGAACATTTAAAACAATCGTTTCAATATTGTGAAAATCACCTTCAGCAATTTTTTTCTAGTGGTCTCTAAACTACCACTTTAACTCGTAAAGACGAATTATTGACGTCGACTTCACTTCAAAAAGTGTATATTAGTTCTACGCTTTCAGGTTTATGATTTTCACACCATTTATGATCGATTTTTATATTTTCTACTTTCATTATATTGATTCCCAATATATTTAGTTATTGGTCAATAAAAAGATTTAAAATATGTGTAAAAATTGGAAATTTATCAATAGACGAGGTATGGAAGCCACACGAAAGGGCAAGATTTTATTCCAGTACTCACTGGTGGAATAGGAAATATTTTAAAACTATGATAATGATGCTGAGATATTTGCAAAACTCCGGACCGAAGGTGTGTGCGGTGGGGTACGAACCTCGTTATTACCTTTTCCAGAGTCTAATGCGTTCATCACCACATCATGCGGGTCCCTCGCTTCGCCTGCCTCTCAGCTAGTTCTATTGATCAGTGCCATCAGCAATCAATCGTCAACGGGGAGCTGCAGTTGAAATCACAGTGTTTACTTTCCTATTTACTGTCTACTGCAATTTTTTACGACAGGATATTTTAAAACTGTTGTACGTGAACATATAATAAAAGAAACGATTAACGGCGGCATTATCAGATCTTCTTTCATTTTTTTGAAATCACTAGGCCACGGTGGGTGTTTAAGTAGAATCTGCAACTTCAGAAGATGATGTATAGAGAGGCCATTAGGTCGCCACAACCATTTAAATGGGCCTAGTTCTATCTGATACGTCAAGAACTAGAGATTCGCTATTCCTATCCCCTATCAAAACCACGAAGAAGAGCACTGAGTGCACATCCGAACTGAAAAGACTTGACAAATTACATCGACATGAGGAGCCCGTAATAACGAACCGCCTCAAAACAGCTTTACACTTCCTTCAAAATCCGATCACAAGAATCAAGTACAAAACCGTAATTTCGTTGATGTACGCAAAAGCATTAAGGGATACTTTATAAGGACACACACAATATGCGAAGTTGGGTCATTAAAAAGTAAACAAGTAATTACTTACTATTTGTATTATTTTGCATGGGCTGTGATTACATCGCTATGCGCGTCCCAGAACTTCTCGAATTCGACTCGTTTTCCTCGCATTCATCGCCCACAAAGACCTTTGAACGTTTGGCGTGTTGTTTCGGCTACTGCTTGAGGATTTATCTTCTTCACGAATGTCGTAGAATGCTGGTTTGATCGGCTCTCTTTGCAACCTTGGAAACAACCGAGCTAGCGGGTTCCTAAGTGGATCGGAGGAGAGCGTTGAGAGGGATTGAACCAGAACCTTGCTTCCTGATGGACAGCATCGACTGCATCGCTACCCACTGCGTTATCCCCTCATTACAAATAATTATAACAGCAGTAATAACATTGGACCTAGCTTATTACGTCGTCCTTTGTCGGTCCGATGATTACAACTAGGAATCGCTATTGTAGCGAAAGAATACTGAACGCAAGGCGGCAAACTTCCTCCTGATCCACAGATGTCAGTGAGTGAATGTGGTGAAGAGCTGAGAACGGCTTAGTATGACATAAACTTGATTGCAGAGAAGACCACGCTCCACCAGCATTAAGCACTCTAAGAAGGAGCTAAAGACTAACCGACAATTGGCCACTGGAGCCGTACACAAACTAAGTACATTCAAGTAAGATGGTTACAGCAAAAAAAAACCCGAAGAACTGGTGGATCCGCATCAGATGTGAGGACGAGTAGTCAAGTCATTCCAAGTATCTAAATGAAAGTAATACTTGGCCACCAGTATAGCTCGCTTTCAAAATTTCAAGCGGCATCAGAATTTTCGATTTGACTGACATTTTGTTGATTGGAAATGTTTCCCTCCAGTCATTTAATAACTCTGCTTCCGAGTTTCAATTTCACCACCTATCGGTAGTTGTTACTCATTGAGGAACGGAAAATGATTTGTTGCCTTTCAGCTGATTTTTGTAGTTTCTTATTTCTTTAGTTCCTAGTTTAATTTTATCTACTGGTTGCTTTTTCTTCATGGCAAGGTATTAGGTGAAATACAACCACAATCATCAAGGGAATCGAGTAAAACTCAGAACCTCAAAAAACTTCGAACTCACGATTACCTTTTCCGAGGACTCACGTGTTACCCACTGCACAAACAAAGGCCCTCTCTTTGCCTTCTTCCCAACCAGTTTTTTTAAACCTTTCTCTTTTTCAAAAAATGACAAATCCACAAGTAAGCTTACTCTTAGCTGGATTTTTTGGTAGAAATGCTGATTTACATCTCGGTTTCGAAGATTTTCATAAAATCTCTACTCCACGTCATCAAATCCAGGAGAATTTTTCGGTTGCAGTAGTCATCAGCATCAATGCTGTACTACAACCGTTTCCACACAACTTTACTAAAAAGAAATAAAGAAAGAGTGGCGGTGGTTTTCACAAGTACATCCGCAAAAAATGTTATTGTCGATGAGAGAGGAAATATGAAGGAAGGAAAACCGCGCTTGAACACTGAAAAAAGCTGTATAGTAAAAAAAACACATCCAACCGCTCCACTATTTCTATGCTGAAAATCACAGGAGCGGCTTTTTGGCTTTAAGTTTTTAATCTCTTTTATTCTTCTAACTTAACATAAATTTTTAAAAAGAACTAAACAGTTTTGATATTTCAAGGAAACCAAATTTTCGATTCAATGGTGACTTCTGTTTTTGAAGCAAACACTGCTTGAAAAACATTCCTGGATCTTCTGTTGTTTTTTCTTTGAAGAACTGAAAAATAAACTCAGTAATATGTGAAGATCTAGAATTTATTATGAGAACAATACGGAAATGTGGTAAATGACTGTCGGATCTTAGAAAATTCCTGAACGACATCATCTTCGATAAAGAAAAAAAAAAGAAAGTTTCCAATAAACATAAGAGAAGAGAAGTAAAAAAGACATTTTACAGCTAAGTGATAGAAATGACGAATAAATGAGACCATATAGCGTACTACAAACCTGTAAGCTGGCCACTCTTCGTAGAAGACCTTGACCTCGTCCATCGTCCAATGACGGAAAGCTCAACGCGCGACCATTTTGCGTTGAATGCGTCTCAGAATTGTGCCACATTTCTATAAAGAATCATGAATCCACGTATCAGAACAGGACAACTCCATTCATAAAACCTACGTGACTGTCAGATTTTGACGACATATCGTCTACTTTAGAATTACGATATTTTACAAAGAGTTCTTACACACTACACCTACAACCACAGACGAAAATGTAATGTCGAACAATGACATATTGGTAAACATAACGAGTCACTGATGATGACGTCTTTCAACGATAAGAAAAGAATTTTCTGTTATGCAACGTTCGAGTGATTTCTTCAAATTATCGATCAAATTTCTGTTATAAGACGATAACGACTTTACAAATTTCTTAAGAGCAACTGTTTCTCTTGACAATTGGAATGTTAACGACGTTCGCACGTGTTGTTCGTACGTAAACATCACAAAAGAAACTTCTTTATTAAGTTTCACTACATTTGTCAACATTGTTATGGACAATGCTTCACACATCCTACATAAAGTCAGTCATTCGAAAAGCCTGGAGCACATTCATGAAATGGGCGATTACACGTTTGTATCAACGCACGATGTCCGAAGAAGGAACAGAAGAAGCTATCCTTACTGTGGACGAAAGCCCTCCGTTTTATATAACAGCGATATTTTCAAAAAGCATCAAATGATTGCCTTTTTTATAAAGCAGACCATACATCAACACGAACCTGGGTTCTCATTAGCACATGTGAAAACTGGCTGAGCGAATTTTTAACCCTTGGCGTCATGAAATATAATAGTTGTAGTCATTTTTTATTTGCTGCCTATTCTTTTTCATGGTAGGGTATGGTGTGAAATATAACTATAATGATGTTGAGATTTTTACAAAACTCCGGACCACAGATGTTTGCGGTGGGGAACGAACTAGCCATTACCCTTTCAAGGGTACCAGGATGGAGAAAGGGTTAAAGCAAATTCGATCCTCACCTCAAACACCTGCGGTTCATAGTTTTGCAAACATCTCAGCATCATTGTAGTTCTAACAGTTGTGTTCAGTCTTCTAGATCGTCGTCGTAGGCAGACACCGCCAGTTGCTGATTGGATGGTTCCCATTTCGCAATTAGGTATCCTTCAAGATGATATCGATTCTATGAATTGCTTACGTATCGGTAGTTTCTTATGGAAATTTGAAATTTCTATTCGATTTAGAGAGCTCTGCTAGAGATCAACACTCCGCTTTACATCACAATTCGTCACTAAAAAATATTTTTGGATTACATCGAGAGAAAAACAATGAAAAAACAAAGGAGTGTAAAGGAAAGGCAAGGAAAAATATCAATAACATGCATAAGAACAAAACCATCATATAACACTTTTCAAATCCTATCATCATCTAGTCTCGGTATGAATACTCAATATCTTTTTAAATTGCTCAATTTAAACGAGTTCGTCGTTCTCTTGTTCAGCAGCAATCACGAGGTTTTTAAACAGCACACATGGTTGACGACCATATGCGACTATAACCATCTGTTCTAAACTTCCTCATTGGAGGTCACGAAAAAAGCGGCTCTGAAGAAGGCGATACTGCCGAAACGTCAGCTGGCGTTGTATTGTATTGTGTTTTTCTATGGAAGTAAATGTATGCTGTTTAAAAACCTCGCGATTGCTGAACAAGAAAACGACACATTCATATTCCAATGCCGAGGTTAATAGAAAGTCGATACTGGAAACTTAAACGAGTTCCTTCCAAAATTCCTCTATCCGCCAACGTTTCGGCGCCATCGGATAGTTCAGTGCAGCGGTGATCCGAGTCGATTGTCCAGAGTCCTTCGCCGTCGCGATATAATTCTTCTTAGTCGTATCAAGTCGAATCTTCTTGAGTGGAGCATGGCCCGAATGACCAAGCCCCACTCGTTAATAATCTTCAACACACGACAGCTGTTGCTGAATGTCTACCGATTCTTTTTTAAATGAAAACAGTTAAATGTATAGTAAACGGTGCTATTTCAGCTAGTATGTAGCATTCCAGCTTTGCTCCACTCCAGAAGATTAGACATGTCTATCAAGAAGATACACATTATGAGAATGAATGCATGTGGACAATTGACCTGAACAGATATGGATTTGAAGAAAGCGATGGTGTCGAAACGTTAACCATAGTAGAGAACTGGTAGCAACCTCGTGTAAGCTGGACATTCAAAAAGATATTGATTATCATTGAACAATTCGAACTCAGTAATACAATCGTGCCACAATAAAGTCCCTCGAAATAAATTACTGCACGTTCTAATCGACTGACAACCTCTCGCTGCACTTTCCGAAGACAAAACAACAGCGTCATTTTTTATGAGGACCATCGATTGAATTCTTAAAATATTAGTAAAATGAAACTTTATTCTAAGAAGTGAGTGTCCGCACTAGCTTTAAACTTATCCTCAAGGAACAGACAATTGTTTGTATGAGATTTAGGAGTGAATGAATGAATGAACGGATAGAAGAACATTCGTCATCAACGCGTAATTCATCAGAAGCTTTGTCTTTCTAACAATATATCATATTTGTAGCCAAACTACCATTAAAATCATTCGTATGATATGAACAAAAATAAAGTTTGCTACATTGCTACTAGTCATATCCCCTTTTTTTGCCCTTATATGTCGTCATTTTTCACTAAAAAATTTAAGTCTATTTCTTTCGCCTATAACGTCGTTGAGGCCTAAAGATTTCACATGTGAACATTTGATCAGACATTTGGCGAATTTCCTTTGGATACCTCGAAATCTTGTTTAGTAGATCATTCACAACAGTGTCCACTCTTTGCAAATTACCACAAATCCTCAAAGAAACGATCCACTGTTCTCGACTCTGTAGCCTTCTTATCACCGAGGATAGCATTGGCTGACACTTCAAGAAAACTCTATAAGGACATTAAACGTTCAGGAGTTAAATTCGCCCAATAGCGAGGTGTAAACTAAGTGCGTTGACCGAAATAGAAATCCGAACTGGCCATTACAGAGAAACAAAAGCTGAACACAGAAGTTAAAAGTAGTTTCCTCAGTAATCTTGCGATGAATCCTAGGAATAATAGTACATTTACTATTCAAGCCTATTTGAAAACGTTTCCTTTTAGATTCACAAAGTAGCCTTTTTATGGGTTTGCAATCTCTCTTTCTCACTAAAAAGTGTACCCAACCCTTGTGAATCGGGGTTGGGGGTATATCGCATTCCGATTAGGTTCCTCCTGAAACGTCAACGATTGCTGACATTCTTTTGGGTTTCGTTCAGCTTCTGGACTACGGATCTCCATCACTGAATGATCTCATACCGTTTAGTCGCCAGGCAACGCAGCATGGTCCCAGGTGGCTGATAGTGGATTAATCGTGGACCAAAAGCAAATTTCTGCTTCTCTGAGACGCAGGTGGATCCCGGCGATGGCCGCCTGTTCCTGTTGCGACAATTTGGTGCATGCCTTTTGTATTTACGAGGGCGTATTCATGCATGCATGCGTCGGTATGTACTCGTTTATGCCGGTTGTATTCTATGAGTCGGCAAAAGCTCGCAATCAAGTGACATGGAAGTAAATTGAAGGGAGTTAGAAGCCACCTCCAACAAACAGGCCGCTCTTCTACACTGGGAGAGACTGGAAGACTACCCGTGAGTAGTAACCACGTTCAGAGCTCAACAAGGTAAACGTGGGTACGAAATACTGAACAGAGCAAAATAAGTGGATCTCATTCCCCTAACTTCGAAGCAGCCCCCGATATTGCAGCGTTGGGTAGGACGAGTCCAGAAATAATGCTAAAATATCAGGATCACTTTAAGCCGCCTAAATCGCAAAGGACTATGGCAGCGATATGCACCTGCAACACACGCTCACTTGAATCTGGGTCCTCGATAGAGGACTTGATCATGCAGGCAAGAAGGGTAAGGTACGACTTCGTCGGATTGGTTGACACGAGAAGACGTCAACCATCTAACGTCGTCCATGACATCGAAGAAGAGTTTTTCCTCGAAATCTGCAACAATAGAGGAGTTGACAGCTATAGCGTTTTAGTTAACAAGAGCCTGGACGAGAACATCAATTAATTCCAACAATTAACAACCATAATCGGACGTTCACGGCGGAAAAGCTGTGGAACAACACCGGCCTTGAGAAACTTCGTCGTTTAAGCGCCGACATCAAACTATGACAAAGAAGAAGTCGAAGTGTTCTATATGGACTTGGAGAAGTTCTACAGAGAAGACCACACATTCTTCAAGGTCATCATTGCAGATTTCGACGCCAAGATTGGACCAGGAAGAACGTTTGAAGAACGATATACTGCAACCCACAGATTAGAATGGAACGAACAGAGTGAGGGGCTGTCTGAGTCTATCATGAAACCAAGACCAGATCTATCATGATCCATGGTAATTTGCCATTCCAAAAGCCTCACCCTCAACGCTGGACATAGGAGTCTCCCAATGAAGAGTACCATAACGAAATAGACCACATCATAGTAAATAGGTTTTGCCTAACCGATGTCGCTGTTGTCCCAAAAATCCACACGGGATCAGACCATCGTCTCCTTCACGGAAGATTCTATTTCTCGCGGAAAGGAGAAAAAGCCGCTAAATTCCAAAACTGAAGTCCCAAAACCACCGTAAACTGGGATTTATTTATTTCATTAGTCGACTAATGGGAGGATGTCGCTGTCGATAACATCGACGAAGAATACGATCGGCTCATTCAACACCTTCACGTTAGCGTTATGAAAGCTGAGAGTTCGAAAGTCAGCAAGAGACGTCTGTCTCCAGAAACACTCGAGTTGATACGCCAGAGTGGAATCGCACGAGCTGCAGGTAACCGCGAACTAACGTTCGAACTTGCAAAACAATGCAGACAGGCGATAAAAGAAGATCTTAAATAGAGAAGAGCAGCAGTAATGGTCGAAACTGCAAAGGCTAGGAAAAGCATCCACAAAGCCCATCGAAGCTTCGCCAATTACAAGACCGAAATGATTGCACTCCGACGCCCAGACGGAGCAACTACAGCGTCCAGAAGTGCAATGAAGAAAATCACTC